TTCTATCCAGGTTGGCCTTTAATTGCAATTCTTCTGATGTCAACCTCTCACATAGCTAATGTAACAGGTGCCTGCCAGGATCCTCAGCAGTTCATTGACTTTGAACTGTGGTCCTCACCATCTTAGCATTCTAACTGGCTAGTATTACAGGTATAGACACTGGTGCCAGGTAGGGCACTAGTTGAGTTTGGGGTCCTGTGTTCCATCATATGCATGGACTTGGAAGCACTCTGTAAAGTACTTTTTTTTGGGGGGGGGGTCTGGTCGTGGGGCCTGAACTCTGGGCCTGGGCGCTGTCCCTCAGCTCTTCAGCTCAAGGCTAGCACTCTACCACTTGAGCCATAGCACCACTTCTGGCTTTTTTTTTTCTGCTTATGTGGTGCATCATGCATGCAAGGCAAGCACTCTACCACTGATCCACCTTCTCAGCCCCTGTAAAGTACTTATTGTATCCACCTTCAGGTGATCCCAAGCAGGACCTCGCTTATGAACGTCAGTATGAACAGCAGACCTATCAGGTGATTCCTGAAGTGATCAAAAACTTCATCCAGTATTTCCATAAAACCGTCTCGGATTTGATTGACCAGAAGGTGTATGAGCTGCAGGCCAGTCGTGTCTCCAGTGATGTCATTGACCAGAAGGTGTATGAGATCCAGGACATCTACGAGAACAGGTGTGACTGCTGGCTGAAACTGCCTCTTTCTGGGTGGGCCTGGTTGTGATATGCAGTAGCCGCAGAGGGAAAGTGCAATGAGAGCTTAGTTGGGATCTTTGTGATTCCGTGGGGCTAGGGCCATGGTACTTAGGTGGACTTGGTATCTTCAGAAACTACACAGTCCTAGAATAATATCCCAATTACTGAAATAATAGTAATTGGTGTATGTTATTAGTATAGATCAAGCAGTTTTTCAAGTTTTAGACGAGGATATTTATATACTCATAGTTTTTTGGGGGCCCGAGGTCCAAATCTAAACATGAAGTGCATTTGTGTTTCAATTGTCCAGTCTGAAGGTGATTGATTTATATGGTGGGTTTTCTTATTTGTGTGTTTGTTTTCTGTTGATCCATGGGACTGGACTCAGGGCCTAAGCAATGTCCCTGACTTTTTTTTTGGGGGGGGGGGTCCTGTCAGGGCGCCTGAACGCTGGGCCTGGGCGCTGTCCCTCAGCTCTTCAGCTCA